TGTGGCCCCACCAGCACTCTGAGTCTGCAGCTATCCGCCTTGAAGGCGGCTACCAGGCAGGCAGCATGCCACAAGGTCAGCTAGGGAAGGCCGGGGGGCCCTTGCTCTGTGTTTTCAGGCTCTGTGCAGGGTGGGAGTTGCCGCCTCCAGTTTGGGCTTGAGGAGGAGGGTAAGGCCTCCCAGCTAGCCTCAGCTCTGCCAAGGCCAAGACCTTGCCCGTTGCCCCGCCCCACGCTTTCTTAGAGTAAGGATCTGGGCCTGAGGCCCAGTTCTCAAAGGCGCCTGAGAGCGGGGACAGGACAGTCACAGCCAGGGGGGCCTTCTGGTCTGGCGCCCACCATCTCCTGTGGATACAGGTGCGTTCTTACCTGTGGGTGGACCTCTTCACTGTGAGGTGCCACCTGTCCAGTGCCCCGGGTTGTGGACTCGGCCTTCCAGGTGGCTGCTATGTGTTGCGGTTCCTGGGGGGGAAAGGTTTTGTTTGACCTGAGTGTCTTAGAGCCTGAGCTGTGGTCCTGTGCTGTTCCTCCCACGGGGGCTGTGCATTGCCACAGACTCTCAATTCCTGGCAGGACAGCTGTCTCAGGCTATGGAGGGCTTTGCCCCTCTCCCTGCCCTCCTCCCCCCACCCCAGAGCAGGCCCAAAGCCATCCCTGCACCCGGAAGTGTTCGATCTGGTTTCAGGAGCCTGGAGAGGTTCAGAGGTTCCTGCAGCCTTCGGTCAGAGCCAGGGGCCTTAACAATGGTCCCTTGTGCTCGCCACATTCCTCCTTAAACAGGCCCAGACCTGGGCTGCTCAGCCTAGGCCCCCCACAGGTTCTGGGGAAGGGAGTGTTTACAGCTGGACGGAGGCCGCTGGCCTCTTTCTGTGTGTAGCAGCTGAGGCCAGGTGTGTGAGGGGCAGCGGGTGGGAAAGAGGTGAGCTGGGAGGTGTGTGTTCTCTTGCACGGCAGCTTGGGACCCTGTGCAGAGCCGTCCGCAGCCACCAGAGGTTTCCTATCAAGGTACGTCTTTGGTGTGGTAGGTGTGTGTAGTGAATGTGGCACCTGTGTGAACACATGTGGAGGCCTGAGTTCCTCTCAGTTGTTTCTCCACCTTCTTTCTTTTTTAAGACCGAACCTGGAGTTTGCCATTTCAGCTAGGCGGGCTGGCCGGTGGCCCCATCCTCCTAGGGTTAGAGATGCAGGCCACCGCACCTGGCTTTCACATGGTTCTGGGGATCCGAACCCAGGTCCTCATGTTTACAAAGCTGGGACTGCCTGGGAGAACTCAGCTTCCTCCTCATCCTGAGCTTGAGGCAGTGACTCTCACCCTCAGTCTGGGGTCCTGGAAGTCTCAGTGACCTGTATTTACCACTGGTGTCAGGCTGGGGCAGGCCGCTGCCATCGTGGATGCAAGCGCCCACGTGCTCGCAAACTGCGAGGGCACATGCGACAGGGCGTCAGGGCCTGCGTGTGCGCCTTAAGATCAGGCTATTTTTCCTTAATATTTACGGCATTTCTCATCTTCCGTGACATGATTTTGAAGAGTCTGCGGGACTGTGGCATGCAGACCCGAATTGTTTCCAGCGTTTGCCCTGTTCGTGCTGATGTAGGTGTCTTCATACATAAACCTTCTGGTTATTTCCCCGGATGCAATCCCAGAAGCGGGCCAGGGGCACAGGAGTCCTCCACAGACTGTGGTTCAAGTTAGGACTGTGGAGGCCGAGGAGGCGCAGAGATCTGAGATCTGAGCCTGGCTTAGGGGTGATGGTCAGGCCTCTGTAGCTTCACTGGGTAAAGAAGGGCCAAGGTGGCCGCCTCCTGCTGTGAGGGCTGATAGCATGGTTCCAGCTCTCAGGGGCAGTATGGAGACTTTCCCCATATGGCTCGGCCCTATGTGTTTCAGTGTGTTTGGGGTTCAGCTGGGTGCCCCCTACCAGCCCTTTGGTTGCACTAGCTTGGGCCTGTGCTAGGCCAGTCCTCTCCCTAGCCAGTTACTGGGATGGGATAGGTCCCCAGGTCAGGGTCTCAGATCTGCAAAGGGTTCCGTGGCCACAGCCAGATGCCCTGTGATTGAGCTGCTGTGTACACTTGTCCTGATGACCTCACACCACTCCGAGTTCAGTCTCTCCTGGGGTTCCTGTGCCCTGCTATACTGCAGGACTGGTGACAAGGGTGGACTCCTCCGTTCTCTCTTAGTTCTGGTGTCAGCAAAGCTGCATTCTGTCCAAACCCTCCAAAGGGAGGCTACTTCCTGCCTTTCCTAGCAGCTGTGGCCTGTCACTCAGATCCCCTCTGGCTTCTAGCCGGCAGATAATCTTAAGTATTTTCTTTTTCAAGGACACTGCTTGGTGTCTGTCCCAAATCCGAAATGTTCTTAACAGATGGAAGACCCCTTTCCCACAAGGTTCTGAGGGGTTGGCCCTTGTACAGGTCTTTTTTTTGGGGGGGGGCTTTCTGAACCACTATATAACCTTTGAAGAAAGTGGGGCTTCCTGGACTGGATGGGGATGAAGGCGATGCCTCCCTGCTCCCACGGCCCACCCTCTGGGCTCCATGGCCGTAGTTAGAAGCACGTGGCCACGCTGTTAGAAGTTAGTGAGGTTATGGCTGGGCTGTGAGTGGGCTGTGCCTGGTTTTGAGCATAGTCCCTGAAGCCCGTTGCGTGGGTGGGTGGGTGTTGGGGCAGTGGACAGCGTGGGATGCGGGAAGGCTGGAAGGAGCCTGGCTTCGGACCTGTTCTTCTTCTGAGGAGGAGGATAGGTACTTCTGGGGGGAGGTCCCGAGCTCCAGGGACAGGAGCAGGCTCTTCCTGTGTGTTAGCACATTGTAGAGATAGCCAAGGGACCTAGGGGCCTCGAGACCATGGATGGCTGAGGCCTTCGGGTGCAGTTGTCTTCAGCTCTGTTACATGCTTTTCATGAGGACCTGAGGTTCCAGCCACTCCTCCCGGCCGTTTGTAAGCAGTTCTGCCCTAGCTGCTCTTGGGGGTGGCTGGAAGGAAGGCTCACGGAGGGCCTCCTCCATCTGTGTGGCTGTGGGGACAGCATCATTCATTCTGGGTGAAAACTTTCTAGTGTGCCTGCTGTGAGTCCCCCGTGCTCCTGCAGGCAGCCCCTCACCCGGGCTCTGTAAATGAGACCAGTAAACTCACTCGTTCCCTGGGGGGAGCTTTGGAATCGTATTTTAGTTTGCCGTTGGGACCTTAGGAGACATTGTATGTCTCCCAGGGAAGGAATTCTGACAGCACTAGCCTGTGTGCATGGCCACCTTGGCCTGGAGCTCCCTGGGAGGCTGCGTTAATTAGACGAGACGGTCTCCCAAGCTCCTCTTCCCCAGCGCTGGATTTACAAGGGTGTGCCCCACACCTGGCTCTTGAAGATGTGGCTTCTGGGAGCATTTTACTGACTGAGTTCTTTAGTGAGTGACCCCTGTCCCAGCCAGTAGCCTTCACAAGGAAGGTCTGGTAGGGCTTGGGGTAGGGCTTGGGGTAGGGCTTTGGAGAAGGCTGGAGGCGTGGCCGGTACCTACAGCCCTGGAGCTGTGGCTGGGGGCTGGGCCAGCTCTTGGTCCTTTCTGCTGTGGGCAGGAGCAGAACACCATGGGGTCCCGTGGCATCTGGGTTCCGGGGCTGGGTTCAGAGCCTGCATTGTCTGGAGCCAGAGCTGTTGGCTGTTCCTGCCACGTGGGCCCTTCCGGCTCTGCGCCTGGCTAAGCTAAACAGCTGCTTCTCATTTAGCTGGTAGCTGCAGAGACAGGAGGATGGAGGCTTCCCAGCCACCAACCACCCTGCTGCTCCCTTGGGAGCAGGCTCCAGTGGCTGTGTCAGCGTGGCTGAGTGGAGACACTGGGTGGGAGCTGCACCGCCCGGAGTGCCAGATGGACAGGGCCAAGCCCGAGGCGCTCGGTGGGCGTGCACTGAGCCTAGCGACCGTTGCTGAGGGTTCCAGCCTTTGGATCAGAGATGTTTGCTGTGGTTCCATGCTGTCGGGAACCTCTCAGCAGCCCCTGCCAGGGGCATAGCATGCTTCTTAAAAGTACATTTATCATTTTTTATTTAATGATGTGCGCTTGTGGGGCAGGAAGCTGGTGGGGGTCTCTGCCGACTCCACTATCAAGTGCAGTACCCACTACTGTGCTGTCAGTCTTGGTCATGAGAGCCTTTACACGCTGGCCAGGTAGGGAGTCATCCCCCGCACCGGAAAAAGCTTACTTTATGTGTATGTTAGTGTGCCTGAGTGAATATCTGTGCAGGAGCCTGCAGAGGTGAGAAGGGGGCATCAGATCCCTTGAAGCCGGAGTTATGGGTCAGCCACCATGTGGGTGCTAGGACTTGAACCCGGGGCCTCTGCAAGAGTGGCCAGTGCTCCTCCCGTCTGAGCCATCTCTCCAGTCCCAGGAATAATATTCTTTATAGCCCGGCGGGTGCGGGTGGTCACCAGGTGCCACCACTCCGGCTGTCGGCGCTCTGTTGGTTGGTGGCGTCTGGGCGTGTGTCAGGCAAGGAAAGGATGGAGGAGAGGAAAGCCACAGAAGAGAAACGGCAGAGCCCTAAGTCCCTGGAGTGGGAGGCTGTGGGCGGGGCTGTGTGGTCTGAGTGTTGGGCACACTGCGGGAGGTCCTACAGTGGGCTGGTCTGTGGGAAAGGGAGGTGGCGTCCTGGTGAGCCCTGTAGCATCCCAGCCAGCATACCTCTCTGTCTTTTCTTTTTTTACCCCTCTGTCTGGGTTGGGTGTTAATCCCCGGCCTTTGTGCATGGTAGGCAAGTACTCTGCCATGGATCCCTCGCTCTTTCGATGACAGGGTCTCACAGGGTTATCCATGCTGGCTCTGAATTTGGTCTGTAGCACAGGCTGGTCCTGACCTTGAGCTCTTTCCTCGGCCTCCTGAGTAGCTGGGATCTCCCCGCTCCCCATGGCCTGCCATTTTTGCCCTTCTTTAACACAGAGAGCACCGTGGGCTGCCAGGGTCCCTCCGCCAGCATTCACGCCACATCCACGTCTCCTCTCTATCTTTCAGCTCTAAAGAGATCGTTTGAAGTTGAGGAGATTGAACCACCCAACTCCACGCCACCCCGGAGGGTCCAGACCCCGCTGCTTCGGGCGACGGTGGCCAGCTCCAGCCAGAAATTCCAGGACCTGGGTGTGAAGAACTCAGAGCCCGCTGCCCGCCTCGTAGACTCCCTGAGTCAGCGCTCCCCCAAGCCTTCCCTCCGGAGGGTGGAGCTGGCAGGGCCCAAGGCTTCCGAGCCTATGTCTCGCCGCACCGAGCTCTCCATTGACATCTCCTCCAAGCAGGTGGAGAGCTCGGGCTCAGCTGCCGGGGCCTCACGGTTCGGGCTTAAGAGGGCAGAAGTCCTGGGTCATAAGACACCAGAGCCTGTCCCCCGGAGGACGGAGATCACCATTGTCAAGCCCCAGGAGTCAGCGCATCGCAGGGCGGAGACCCCCGTCTCCAAGGTTCCCGATGTCCCTCCTGTGCCTGTCACCGATGCTGCCCCCAAGAGGGTAGAGATTCAGGTGCCCAAGCCAGCTGAGGCACCCAACTGCCCGCTCCCGCCCCAGACCCTGGAGAACTCCGAGGCCCCGATGTCTCAGCCGCAGAGCAGGCTGGAGCCCAGGCCCCCCCCTGTGGCTGAGGTCCCATACCGGAACCAGGAGGGTGAGTACCCCGAGTTGGGCCTTCAGGCCGTGTACTTGGGACGGGACCTTGCTGTGGGGTTCTTGGAAGAAGTCCAGTGTTTGCGTGCATGAGTGCATAGATGGGCAAAGGCCTGGATGTGCAGAGTTGTGTCCCAAGGCTCAGGCCCACAGCAAGAGCCTGCAGTGGAGGAGTACCTTTGAAGCACCAAGCTCCGTGGGTGGCCAATGCCAGAGCTCTGTCATGTGATCCTGGAACTGTGAGGCCTGGGTGGCTGGGGAGCAGTGGTTGGTGCTGGAGTCATGTGTGCTCCTGTGGGGCCAGAACAAGCCATGCTCTGGTGATTGCTAGGTCTCTGGGCGGACCTTCTGAGACACAGAAGAGCTGCAGCCTGAGTGCCTGGTGGAGGTCCAGAGCTGAGGATGGGGGAGGAATGTGGGTCCCCTGAGGTCGCACGGGAACCCTCCCGTCTCTCCATCTCTCTATCTGGCCTTCCCCACCACATGAGTAACTTCACCAAGGCAGAAACACCCGACAACCTGCCGAAGGAAGGGAAGGCCTCCAGAGGACATAGTCATCGTGGTGGGAAAGTGGGATGGAGCGGCACAGCCAGTCAGGACGCAGGGTGACGATGGCTGCTGCTCTCTCCTTTAATTGCCACCTTTAACTGTAGTGAAACGAGCTCGAGGTACTTTGGCTGCCGTAGTCGTGTTAAAGTGTGCAGCTCAGTGCCGCTGCCGCAACCAGGTCGTGCTGTAAGTACCACCGCTTCCGGGGATTTCCGGAACTTTCCACACCCAAACAGAAATCTGCTCCCCAAGAAGCATCTCCCTTCATGTCCTTGCCTCAGGGCCTCCCAGCCCCTGCATCTTCTGTCTGACTTGCCCTGCTTGTTCTCCGGCACAGCGGCCTCACTGTCCACCCATACCGTATATATGTCAGACTTTGGTTCCCTCTAAAACATGTGCCATGTCCCAGCTTCAGGTAGAATCGATTCCTCCACTGGTGTACTTTGGCTGTCTCCCACCGTTTGGCTCTTGTAAACAGTGATTGCATCGTGGTGATGCACATAGCTTTGTAAAGCTCCCATCCTTTGGCTCTCTAGTGGTTGGTGGGCTTGGGACCAGGCTGGGATGAGGGGTGGGGAGCTTGGGCTCAGCCTTCTGAGAGTGTCAGTGCTGGGCTCATGAACCTTTGAAGGGTCCTTCCAGCTCCTGGTGTGTGTCTGGCTCTCTCTAAGTCCTAAACTCGAGTCAGCATCCACACCTCAGGTGGGGGATACAAAGGCCCTGGGTGTGGTTGAGTAGAGGGGCCAGTGCCCTGTCTTTTCTCCACAGTGCCTGATTGATCTGGGACCTCCAGAGGCACCAGATACACCTCCCTCCTGAGATGAGATGAGCACGCTGCTGAGTCAGACAGGATGTGCACAGAGAGATAAGACAGCTGCACCAGGCTCCCCAGCTGGTGCTCGCAGCTGGTGTTGGCTGCACCGAAGGTGGTCCAGGTTCTGGGGCGGGGCGGGGGATGTCTGCTGAAGGATGCTGTTTTTCTTCTGAGGAAGCGCCTCAGACACTGCATACAGGGCTGGGCCGGGCCTGGGCCATGGGGATGAGTGCACAGCCTCTGCCTTGATGGCTTATGGGAAGGCAGTGGGTGAACACTGAAGAGAGCTCTGTGGAAAGCTATTGGGGAGGGCAGGACTTCTATAGGTTAGGGTGAAGAAAGGTAGGTGAGAAAGAGAGAGAGAGAGAAGGAGGGAGGGACTGGGACTGGAGGCCAGAGGTCAGTCCTGGTGTCATTCCTCAGGAGGCATCCACCTTGGTTTTTTTTTTTTTGTTTTGTTTTCCTTTTTTTTTTTTTTTTTTTAAGATGTATTTATTTTATGGGTATTTTGCCTGCATGCATATACCTGTGTGCCATGTGCGTGCCTGGTGCCATGGATCCCCTGGCACTGGAGTTACAGACAATTGTGATCTGCCTTATGGGAATCAAACCAGCATGGCATGCTCCTAACCTCTGAGCCAATTCTCCAGCCCCCACTCCACATCTTTAAATTTTAGATCTACTTAATTTTGTTTTATGTGTATAATTGCTTACCACCTTAAGCACTGGGGAGGTAGAGACAGGACGATGGCAGGAGATTGCTGACCAGCCAGCCTCACAGAGCAGGCCAGCCCAGATCTGGCAAGAGACCCTGCCCTCAAAAGGCGGAGGCCGGGGAGGAGGCACAGAAGTTAAGAGCCCTCGTTTGGTCCCAGTGCCCACTCGGTAGCTCCAACCATCTCCACCTCTAAGAGGAAGGGATGTGCTCTTCTGATGTGCTCTCTGACCTCTGCGGGCCCCAGGCGTGCACATGGGGCCCACAGCATACGTGAATTCAAAGCAATCGTACATGTAAAATAAATACAAAATAATGGTGGCACCTGGCAGGTGGGGACATGGGGATGGGGATAACATTTTGGTGGCTGCTGCAAGCACCTGCAGGGCCGGGGGTAGGGCAGAGGTAGAGAGCCATCCTCAGGATGTACTGTGGAGGGAAAAGGGGGCCTAGATGGCTAAGGAGGGGGCCCAGCTGAGCTTGTTGGCCGCTGAGACGTAGGCTCTGCCAGTCTACCTTGGGTTCCTGCTGTCACAGATGGGTGGTGCTGGGATCCAGCCAGGGCAGGCTGCTGGCTCAGCCCCTGCAGCCTCCACTCTGGCCCACGGCCACGCCAGCAGCTCCCCAGACTGCCTTATAAGGCGGGTGCTGCACTTGCTCACCACTCCCTCGTGCTCTGCTGCCTTCTCTGGTGCTTGTGAAGCCCCACCGAGTTCCTGGGTGTGTCCCTGCTGCACCCATGAGCCCACTGTCCTGAGGGGTCACCTCCGATTCTCAGCCTGCCTCAGTTTCTAAAGCTATTCGTCAGTAAGGCTGGTCCCTGGCTCCGTGCCTGTGAGGGGTGGCTGGCCACTTCCTGTGGGTCCCTGGGTGTGTGTCTACATCAGACCTGGGGACAGATTAGGGGAGAGGCCCTATGCAGACTGTGGGGCTACAAGTCCATTGTGGCACTGAGGGGGTTAATCAGAGCACAGGTTCCCTGAAGCCACCTGTGGTGTCACAGAAGAGGGGACAGAAGGGTCTGAGCTCAGGTCCAGCGTGGGGAGGACTTAGCACACCCCACACCCTGGACACAAGTCAGGGTGTCCAGTGGGGGAGCGGGAGACCACCATGAGAACTGGTGGGGAGATAACCCAGCCTCTGCAGAGGGCTCCACAGACAGCCTTTGTATCTGCACAGCACCCTGTTGGCTATGCGGGTCCCCCCAACTGTCCGTGGGTGGTGGCTTTCCTAGGGATGGGTTTCTTCATCTGCTGCTCAAGGCCTCGTGTGGAAGCCAGCTCGTGCTTCGTGAAGCCAGCACAGAAGGGGGCCTGAGGAGCCTCCTGCCTTTCTTCTGAAGGATTGCAGCCGAATCCGCAGCAGGGACATTCCCACCAGCCACCACACTCTCATGACCCTCTCTGCTCCTTGCCACAGTGGTCACCCTGTTCTGGGACTTGATGTCTTTCCCTCCTAGGAATGGGCCCGCTCAGTCCGAGTTCTCCCGGACTGTTCCCACTTAGGCCAAGTAAGAAAACTGCAGGGCTGTGAGGAAGAGTGGTTAGGCCAGTGGCATTTCCTTCAAGGTGGAGGCAGACAAAGCCTGGCTCTAGGATCCAGGCAGAGTCCCTCCCTGGCCGCCTACCCAGCTGTCTGCCGCCCAGCTGTCTGCAGAGCCAAGGGCGCAGTGCTGAGGGAGAGCCAGGCCTCTCCACGGATCGCGGCCCAGCAGCTGTGGAATACCTTAAATAGAGAGGAAGACAGCTGGGGCACGCCTGCCTGGGGGACGGGTCCTGTTCCATTCCTCCAGTTCCGTGGCTGAGGCTCTGAGCACCCAGTGGTGCTCCGGATTGAGCCTGGCCCCTCTCGTGGCACTGTGCGGCACACCCACCTACATGAAGCAGTTGCCCAAGGAGGAGCCATGCCTGCATCCTCAGCCTCTGAGCCTTGGACTGCCGCTGGGATCCAAGGTCCGAATGGTGCCATGGCTGTTGAGGGTAGCCCCGGGGTAGAGAGCCATGCTCTCTGTCTGTGTGCTTGGACGGAGGGCACATTCAGCCTTGGATGAGAGGGCGCTGGTGCTCCCAGCTGACACCCTGGGTGTGGGCAGCCCCTGGAGAGTGCCACGTGGCACATGCTGGCCCTGTCTCCAGAGCCTCAAGTGTGGGAGTTGACTTTCCCTAGGGCTTGCAGAGGACAGGGTAGGTCCCTCTCCCAGTTACAGGGACTCCTTCACCCTCCTGTGGTCAATAGACCAGGGACAGTGGGACCCCAGACCTGACTTCCTTCCTTCTCTGCAAACCCTGGGCATCGGAGAGTGCTTGGGATGTAGAGGCAAGGAGGTCAGTCCTGTCCAGCCGGGGACACGTGTGACCCCGCCTCAACCATAAAGCCAGCGGGGAGGGAGGCTCAGAGAGATACCCCAGAGGCTAAGAGTGTTTGTGGTGCTGGGCGTGGTGGCACATGCTTTTAATCCTGCACCTGGGAGGCACAGGCTGGTGGATCTCTGAGTTCAAGGCCAGCCTGGCCTACAGAGTGAGTCCCAGGACAGCCAGGAAGAAAGCAAGAATTGTTGCTTTTGTGGAGGGCCTAATTTCAGTTTCCAGCACCCATATTGGGTGGTTCATGACCTCCTGTAATCCCACTTCCAAGGGGTCTGGCGCCCTCTCCTGGATTTCTTAAGCACACACACATACACATAGCATGCACACATACACAAACACATCACAGACATACATGCTTACACACACACACTCTTAAGGAGTTGGGGAGATGCTCAGCAGTTGAGAACATGCTCTGCTCTTACGGAGGACCTGAGTTTGGTTCTCAGCACCTGCATCAGGGGACTCACAGCCACCTTTAACACCAGCATCAGAGGAATCCTGTGGCTCTGGCCTCCACCCAGACATGACACATAAATTAAGATTAAACATTTAAAAGT